AACTGGGAGGGTGTGTGGATATGCAATACTCTCAATAATAAAGAGTGTTTTAAAGGAATAAAAGAACAATGCATAGGAAAAGCACGGCAGGAATTCAATAAAAAAGTCATTTGGATGCTTTGGTAGGGAGCTCACCTCCCACCGGTATAATCACTTTTCACCACGGAAGCCAAAGCAGGGCCACCCCCCGCCCGGCCTCCCTGTCTGTCAGGCCTGGCTGCCTGGGAAGCGGGTGGTCCTGGGCTCGCTCCTGGGTCCCCACTTCTGGGATATTCTGGACCAGGAAAGCCCAGCGCCGGCCCAGCATCCGGCCCGTCACCGCTGCACGGGGGACCCGGCAGAGGGTCAGCCGCTCCCCACAGCGGCCAGCGGGAGACGTAACCTGTCTGCACCTCGATTTCTCACCCGTGAAACGGAGGTCATTACGGCGCTGACCTCAGGGGGTCGTGGTATGGATTACGTGCGATAATGCATAGAAAGCAGTTAGCACAGGGCTCCATAAATGGTCCGTGTCATTTCCAGACTCTGAGATGCTGCCACCTGGGGCTCGTGTCCCTCCCAGGTCTCACCGGAGTGCCACCCTCTCCCCCTCTGCCCGCTCCCCAGCCCCCTTCTCCTTCTCCTTGCCGGGGTTCTCCGGCCAGGGAGAGGCCGGTCAGCCTCCCCTCCTGGGTCTGCCGGCCACAGCCCCGGCCTCTCCGTGAGACACAGAGGAGGCCCGGAGCCAGGACCAGCCACCTGGGCGGCTGGCGCAAGAAAACAAAAGAGAAGCATCGAAAAGAGGCCGGCGGACAGCTCGAAGGCGGCCCATCCATGCCCGGCCGCAGGGTCCTAGCAAGCGGCACGGTGAGCATCTCTGTGCCAGACGCGGGTCCAAGCTCCTTCCGAGGATCAACATGCCCATTGCCATGGAGACCCCGTGCGGCATTACATCTGTCTTCGCGTTACAGGTGAGCAGACCGAGGCAGAGAGAAGGCACAGACCTGTTTAAGCTGCAGAAACTACCAAGTGGCCACGGGAGGGGGGAGGGGGTTAGCCAGGGACTGTGATTCCATCATTGTTCCATCCGCCTAACCCCGTGGCGCTCTCATCAGATCACCCAGACATGGGAGGGCACGGACCCTGTGCACGCATCGCTCCAGGAACTGAAAGGACATACAGGCTAAGACGTGGCCTCGGGGACAGGGGGGGCCATCAGAGCACGCAGTTCTCAGGTCCAGGGGCGAAGGCTGGGACCCCAGGACGGCCTCCCCGGGCCCGCAGCACCGGGGGCCGAGGCAGCGCAGACAACAGACCGTGCAGCTCCACGAGCAGCAGAAGGCGGGAAGGCGGGAAGGCTGAGGCCTCCCTGTCCCACTGGCCCAGGGCCGTGGCCAGAGGCAGCGTCAGGCACGGAGGGCTGGATGTGCGCCCCCCTTCAGGTCCGAGTGCCTGGAAGGTGGGAGTCCAGTCAAAGTCAAGGAGGGGAGCCCCCAAAAATTAAATACGGAGCTACCTTTGGACCCACGGGTCCCACCTCTAGGAATATATCCTAAGGAAACCAAAACACCACTCAGAAAGAATGGATGCGCCCCTGTGTTCTTAGCAATCGCCACACACAACAGCTGAGATCTGGAAACAGCCCACGTGCCCATCAGCAGACGAGTGGGTAAAAAGCTGTGGTACAGCTACACCGTGGAATACTATGCAGCACTGAAAAGGGATCTCCCACCCTCTGAGACAGCACAGAGGGACCTGGAGAGCACTGTGCTAAGCGAAATAAGCCAGCCAGAGAAAGACAAGTATCACATGATCTCACTCCCATGTGGAATCTAATGAACAAAATACACTGATGAGCAGAGTGGATCCAGAGACACGGAAACATGGAAACAGAGGGCAGAATCTCAGAGGGAAGGGGTGGAGGGAGGGTGGGAAGTAACCAACCAAGGACCTTGTATGCATATATGCATGGCCCATGGACACAGACAATCGGGTGCTCAGGGCCCGGGGTGGGGGCAAGGTCGTTGGGAGAAAAGGGGGACATATGTAATACTTTCAAGAACAAAGATTTTTTTAAAGGAAAAAGGAAACGGAAGGGGAGTCCAGTATCCTGATCTCTGCCTTGTCTCCTTGCCTCTTCCTCACCCCCAGGGCCCACTCCGGGCTCAGCAGGCCGAGGGGGGGCGCGTGCGGTGAGTGTGTCCGTGTGAGGTGTGGGGAATGGGTGGGGGGACTCCGTTCCCAACTACTCTCCGTTCCAGACCCACGTTCCCCGCCAGCATGTGGCTGTGTTCCGGGAGCTGAGTCCCGGGAATGGGGAGAGCTTCAGGCCTCTCACCTCTGCCCCTCGCCCCCTCCCTGCAGGTGGCAGGGATACCACCTGGGAGCTGAAGGAACAGATTCTGCCCGCCCCCCTCCTGCACCCACCTCCTCTGGAGGCGGCTCCCACCCCGAGCCAGCCTGTCATCCCACATTGCTCTGATTAGCTATAATCTTTCTTTTTCAATTTCTCCTCTTCAAGACTGGGAGCGAGAAAATCGCCCAGAAAATGATTAAATATTTCAATTTTCGGCACAATCAGTCTGAGGAGCTGACGCATGATGGAAATGGGGGTAAGGATAATGGTTTTCATTTAGATAAGATACAGAAAATTATTTAGTGAGAAATGAAGATTGATGAAGCCCATTGGCATTCTTTAAGATGTGATTTTCTATTTCTCTGCCTGAGCTCTCAGTCTCCCCTTCCCGCTCCTCCTCCCTGCTCCCCTGTTTATGTGCTCTCCTCCCGCCACCTCCTCCCATCTCCCACCCCCACCCCTCCGTCCCCTGGCACCCCCCTTCCCGCTCTCCCCGCCCCAGCCCCTGACCTGGAATCCCTTCTTTCTGAACAGGAGGCGGGGAGGAGGTGCCAGCCTCCCTGCCACCCCTTCGCCCCCCATGGCCGGCCTCTGGCCCTGCCTCCACCCCAGGCCTCGCTCGCTTCCCAGAGCACTCCCTGGGGCTCCTCTCCCCTCCGGTCTGTTCTCTGTCTTTTCTCCGGCCTTCACTCATCCTCCATCCCCCCACCCCCACCACTTCTGCACACTTTCCTCAGCTCCTGCTTCCCCCCTGCTCCGCTAACCTCTGACCCCGCCCCTCCCCAAAGGGAGACGGGCCCACAACACCCTTCTCCTTCCTGGCCGGTTCCCTCCCCGCTCCCATCCGCACGTTTCTCCCAGGTCCTAACTGCAGCTTTTGTTTCTGGAAGCTCCTTCGTGTCCATGCTGCTGACATGTTAAGGGCTGCAGAGAGAGGGCAGACATAGCTTGCCCCCAACACATACCAACTCTGACCCAGCTACTCCCACACACACACCACACACACACACACACCACACACACACACACATTCTTTCTCCCGAGCAGCCTGGCAGAGCAAAACGAGAACTTCAGGCCTCTTCTCAACTTTCTGCCAAGTGGCAGCCTGGCCAGCCAACCCCAGCACCAGGCCTCCGTCCTCCCCAGCATCAGTTCCTACTCAGCTCTCCCCCTAAGTGTGCGCCCTTCCCATGTTCATGTGTGTGTGTGTGGGGGGGGGGGGGGCAGGAGCACAGATGCCCTCTGGGGAAGATGGATCAAGCTCTGCCCCATTAGCTCAGCCTCTGGAGCCTGGGAGGGGCCCCGCCAGGGGATAAGGGGTCCATGTTAACACTCCACCCCAAACACACCCCCAAACCCCGGAAGGGAACGGCGCAGGCAAGACGATTGGGCATGTTCTATCCACGCTGACTTCCCTCTTCTCAGATCCGGGTCCCCCCGCCCCACGTCCCACCCCCCCAAAAAAAGAGCCCACCCCCTCTCCATTTTGTAGCCGGTACATCTCCAGAGGTGTCTGGCTATATGGATGGCTACTCGAGCTTCTTTGTTTGCTGGACGGTGGGTATCTACAGCAGGTTTTCGGTGTAAGTGTGTGTGTGCTGTGTCCTGGTACATGCCTACATGCGTGTACTGTGCCTATGAGTTGGCTGTGTCTGGGTGCATGGATGTGCAAATGGAGAGGAATCGGTCTCCGATGTGTCGGTGTCTTTGTGTGGATGTGTCTGTCTCGGTGCGGGTGATGCTGGTGGGTCTGTCCACCTCAGTAGGTGAGCAGGTGAGGGGTCTGCTTCAGAGTGTGTGTGTGTGTGTGTGTGTGTGTGTGTGTGTGAGAGAGAGAGAGAGAGAGAATTACATCAGCGCTGTTTTGGAGGCCAGGGGCTCGCTCAGCAGTCCTCAATCTTCCCAAGAGTCGGACGCACAGGGCCAGGACCCACCGCCCCAGGCTCTTCATCTCCCTGCCCTGGCCCCCGCCCCCAGGAGGATACAGGAACCTGGGTTCTCTCCTCCTCTCCCGCCTCTCCCTCCTCTCCCTCCTCTCCCCTGACAGTTCCAAATACACTCACAGCGTCCACACTTTCCTGACCCAAAGCGGGGGGCTCACCCCCCCCCCCAAAATGCCCCTCCACATGGGGCCGGCCAGCCACTGCCTTTGCAACTCCGCTCCCCGGCGAGCCCCCGGCGGCGGGAGCCCGGGGCGCCCCTTCCTCCCTCCAGACGGCGGTCCCCCGAGGGGGGCGAGGCTGGAGCAGGGGATCCCCTCCGCACGCCCTTCCCGAGCCCGGGCCCCGCTTCCCGCGCCCCCCCCCCCCCAAGTCTGGAACCCCAGCCTCCCCAGCCTCCAGCCTCCGCGCCGGCAGGACCGCGCCGCCGGCCCCGGAGGGCGGGAGGCGGGGAGGGAGGCGGGCGGGCGGGCGGGCTGCCCGCAGCTCGGGACGGACTTTCCCGCTCGGGTCCCGCTCCCCTCCGTCCCCGTGCGCAGCCGGGGAAGCAACTACTTGGGCCGATCCGCGGGAAGTCCTCCCCCGCCGGGCTCCGGGCTCCGGGCTCCCGGCTCCGCGCCCCGGGTCCGCGCGGGGACCTCATGGCGCCGGGCCCCCGGGCCCCCGGACTCCCCCGGCGCGGGGGGAGCCGGCCCGGGTCCCGGTGCCGGTCCCGGTCCCCTTACCTTGGGAGAAAGTGTCGGAGAGAGTGAGGATCCAGACGAGGAGGCTCAGCATGCTGCCCGCCGTGCGCCCGCGCCGGGCCGGAGTTGGCGAGCGGCGAGCCGCGGGCCGGAGGAGGAGCCGCCCCCGCCCGCCCGCCCAGCACACGCGCGCACACGCACACACAGCCGCGCACAACTACTTCCCTCCTCCCTCCCTCCCTCCTCCCCGCCGGCCCCCTCCCTCCCGCCGCTCTCCCCTCTCTCCGCCCCGCTCTCCGCCCCTCCCGCTCCGGCTATTCCTCCTCTCCCGCTTTATCTCTCCGCGCCTCTTTCATCTCTGCGCTCCCTCCTCCTCCCCCCTCCTCCCTCCTCCCCCTCCTCCTCTCCCTCCTCCCCTGACGTCTCCTCTCCCCCAGCCCCCGCCCCCCGCCCCGCGCGCACGCACACTCGCACCCCACGCCGGAGCGGGGATGGGAGCCGGGAGAGGGGCCGGGTGCCGGGACGAGGACGGGGGCGGCCGGGCACTGGCCCCCGCGCCTCCCCTCCCGCCCCGGCTCCGCACCGCGGGGTCCCGGGCGGCGAACTCGGCGGGATGGGGGGGGGGGGGGGGCATGCGCTGGGGACCAGCCTCCCGCCGGCGGAGGACCGAGGTGCGGGAGAAAGAGTGAGTGAGTCTGGGGGTGAGTGTGTTGGGGGCGGGCAGGCATCAGAAAGCATGAAATCCTCTTCTCGTGTTTTGTTTTCCTCGTGGATCCCACACCCAGAACCGAATCCCCAGGCTCCCCAAACTGGGAATGGTCGGCGTCCCGGTGAAGGATTGCGGAGGATCCATTCCTGCGCCTGGAACTGGGGATCCGCTTCCTGGATCCGCCGGGAGCCCCCGCCGGGCGCCTCCCCCGCGCGGGGACCCCAGGCGGAGCTCCTGCCTCCAGCCCAGGCATCTACCCACCCCCCTCCCCGCTCTTCCAGGAGGAGAAAGGAGCCAGCTCCTCGCTGTGCAGAGACAGGCGAGGACAGCACAGGAGCACCTCTGGGCGGGAAGGAGTGGGGTCCCATGGGGCTGGGAGATCCAGGTCCTGGAAGGAGGGCTTTCCGGAGGGGTCTCCTCCCGGGAGCTCCTCTTCCAACCCTGCCCGGATGCCTGTGCGCCGGGGTTGCCGGTGAGGCCAGGCCGTCCGCGTCCCAGGGTCCGGGCTGAGGAGACATAACGGGAATTGCACAACTTTGCTGGTGTGGAGAGGCCTCCTCGTTCGCTCGCGGGTTCTGGGTCTCCTGGGTCCCCACCGCTACCCGCCAAGATTGCTCCATCTTAGCCCCGGGAGGCCGCGCGCGGCTCTCCGGCTCCCTCTGCCGGCAGGAGGCGGCCACACGCTCTCTTCTAAGGATGGATGGTCCAGACACACCACACACTCTGGAGGATACAGAAACACAGGCGGAAAAACATACAGGCTCACAGTCAGAAGGACGTTATGCGCAGACCCAGAGAGTCCTTCGTATGTTCAAAAACACATATGCAAAGGCAAGCACAGAGTTTAAAAACAGAGTCATGTAATACTATATGTAATGCTTTAAACAATAAAGAATTTTAAAAATTAGCATAACCAATGGACACAGACACTTGGGGGGGGGGGGTTGTGCTGGGGGTGGGGGTGGCCGGGGAGATGTCAATGAGGGAAAAGAACACATATGTAATACTATAATATATGTAATACTTTAAACAATAAAAATTTAAAGAAAAAAAATAGTCATATTTAGCCCAAAGAAATAGGAAATATAGTCAAATATATACAGCCACACACCAATGTGCATTTTCTTTTATTTGCATTCCACAAATGTGTGCCTGCTTATGTTTCAGTCACAATTCTAGGCTTTGGAGATATAGCAATGAAAAATATATATATATATTGACAGCCCTGCAGGTGTGGCTCAGAGGTTGAGTATCGGTCTATGAACCCAGGATGTCATGGTTCCACTCAATTCCAGGTCAGAGAACATGCCTGGGTTGCAAGCTCAATCCCAGTAGGGGGCATACAAGAGGCAGCCAATCAATGATTTTTATCATTGATTCTCTCTCTCTCACTGGCTCTTCTTTGCTGAAAAAAAAATATATGTTTAAAAACACAAAAAATAGCCAAAACCAGTTTGGCTCAGCGGTAGAGCGTCGGGTCCCAGGTTCGATTCCGGTCAAGGGCATGTACATTGGTTGCGGGCACATCCCCGGTAGGAGGTGTGCAAGAGGCAGCTGATCGATGTTTCTCTCTCATTGATGTTTCTAGCTCTCCTTCCTTCTCCCTTCCTCTCTGTAAGAAAAATCAATAAAATATATTTTAAAAATAAATTAATTAATTAAAAATAAAAACACAAAAAATAAGAGAGAAAAATTATTGAGCAAGTTCTTCCCTCATAGTGTTTCATTCTCTAGGACAGTGTTTCCCAAACTTCTCTAATGATGAGAATCACCTGGTGGAGTTGTTAAAATACAGATTCCTGAATCCCAACTAAGAAGTGCTAAACTAGAATTTGGGGGAACATATAGGTAAAGTTGTATACTTAACTTAGTGCTCTGTCTTAGTTTGGGAAACACTGCTCTAGGAGATGAGGAGACAGTAGAAAAATATAAAATATACCATGTTGTAGTAAGCGCTGAGACAAAGAAAACATGACAAATGAATAGGGAGTGGGAGGGATTGAGGCAGTCACAGAAACTTGTGCTGAAGTAGCTTTTGAGCAGACAGACACCTGAAGGAATTGGGGCTTCTGAGGGGAGAATGGAGCAGGTAGGTGCTGGCAGCCGTGCAAAGGCCCTGAGGTAGCAGTGCCCTGGCAGCCTTTTCTCCTTGTCACTCTGCATGGAGGCCCATGGTGAGAGCGACTGAGGAAAACGGTAAGAAAAAGCTCAGAGGCAGAGAATATTCTTAGCACAGTGCTTCTTGTCCACATTCCAGCTTCGGGTATTCCGGTTTGATGGTTATTCTTAGTGTGAGGTGGGGCTGGGTAAAAAACTTACTTCTCCTCAGGCCTCTGATCTCACCTCCAAACCCTGGCAACAGAGCAACCAAATTTCTCCAGAACCTTAGCAGCCAAAGCAGTAATCTCACCTCTCTGTGTGTGTGTGTGTGTGTGTGTGTGTGTGTGTGTGTAATCCCAAATCCGGAACAGCTCAGTTCATAGTGTGAACTTTGAGAAAGAAGACACCTGCTAAGAAGGGATCCTGGTGGCTAACTGGACTGAAGTTTAAAAAACAAAAACAAAAAACAAAACCAGCCCCCCAGCCATTTGTTCTGGGGACCTCTCACTAAAACTGCACTTCTGGTATCAATAGACACCTGCGGTGAATTATCCACCTCAGCACTGAACTGCCAGTCAGCGGAACCAGCCTTTATAAAGGAGTTCCTGGAATCCTGTTTCAACCAATAGGACTGCGGCTTTCCCCATCCGATCTAAGCTGGGCTGCTCCGCCCAAGCAGAGCAGATCTAACCAATCCGAACAGTGGCTTTTGGACCAATCAAAAGGTGAGCATTTGGAGCCTTCCCAGGCTTGAGGGTAGGCCAATCAGGGAGCAGGGGTGGGGACTTCTGTCTGTATAAGTCAGCTCACCTCTGGACTTTGGGGAGCAACTCTCCCTTTCCAGCCAACACCAGAGGCTGTGGCTGAGCTGAAACAGGGGGAATACCTTGCTGGAGCAGGTCAGAGGGGAGCTGCCCCACAGCCATGCTGTTGTGTTGCACCTCAATGAGGCCATTTTGTACTAAATAAAGTTTCCCTTGCCGAAACCGGTTTGGCTCAGTGGATAGAGCATCTGCCTGTGGACTGAAAGGTCCAGGTTTGATTCCAGTCAAGGGTACATACCTTGGTTGCGGGCACATCCCCAGTAGGGGATGTGCAAGAGGCAGCTGATCCATGACTCCCTCGTGGATGTTTCTAGCTCTCTATCCCTCTCTCTTCCTCTCCGAAAAAAACTCAAAATATATATATTTTAAATAGATAAAGTTTCCCTCTTCGCTGCACCCAAACGGAGGGTTCCTGTTGGTGCTGAAATGATGGTGAACCGTCGGTAGAGAATAGCAAACACACTTCTCCAGCATCCCCTTCACATAAAACCCCAGTTCCCGGAGCTGAAGACGCCAGCTCCAGCCCATGGTCCTCACCACCAGCCGGGCATGGGAACCTCCTGCTGGGCCTTTAACAACGCCAGCGCCCTGGCCTCCCTCGCAGAGATTAATTGTTCGGGGGTGAAGCGCCAAGCATGACTATTTTTAAACACCCCCTCTCGCGCCAGGTCATTCTAAGGGGGTTGAGGATCCCTGAGCTCAGCAAACCCCTTCTCTCTGGGCATTGCCCTCAGCAAGTCTGCCCCCCACAGGGGCCTTGCCCTCTGCCTCCCACCAGCGGTTCTGCTTGGGGCCAGTCCTGCATCACACTCCCCTCCGTCAGGGGAGAACGCCAACAAAGCTCCTCCAAAATCTGCTTCATTCTCATCCTTCTCCCCCCCTCCCCCCCCCCCCGCCCCCACTGTTCACAGCTTAGTCCTGTTGGACTCACTGGCTCCATGGGGGGCTAATCTTAGTTCCTGGCTTGTATTTGTCCAGGCGGAAGGAGTGGGTGGAACCTGGGCCCTCCCAGGCTCCTTGTTTTCCTGGGAAACCCCCTTGATGGATTGGAGTATAAACAGATGCGCTGCGAGGCTCAGGGGGTCAGTCAGTCAGTCAGACTCTCAGCAGAGGAGGTCTGCGGCCCTCCCAGCTCCCAGCTTGAAATCTATCTCTGTGTCTTCTCTCTTTATTTCTATTGTTTCTCAATCCCTGAGCACCTCCGCTTAGAACCGGTTCGTTCATCTCTCTTTCCCTGCGGGACATGGAAAAGGGAGATCCCTGCAGCTTCAGGCCCCAACAACTCCCTCCCTGTCAGAGAGGCAGCAGCGTGGTTGCAAACAAAGTCCCCGAGCCCCGAAACCAGCCCAAGGCCAGTGGTCGGCAAACTCATTAGTCAGCAGAGCGAAACAGCAACAGTACAACGATTGAAATTTCTTTGGAGAGCCAGATTTTTTAAACAACTTCTTCTAACGCCACTTCTTCAAAACAGACTCGCAAAGGCCATGGTATTTTGTGGAGGAGCCACACTCAAGGGGCCAAAGAGCCGCCTATGGCTCTCGAGCCGTAGTTTGCCGACCACAGC